AAGTGGAGCGACTATATCGAATCGTTCATTCCTTCGTCTACTGAAAAGAAAGTTGCTTCACTCTGTAGTGCCAAAAGATTAGAATCCATCTTGCATATTTATAAAATCTACCATTCCTCCGTGCATTGAATACTGATGTCATATCTGGTCTGGTTTTCCTGCTGTACTGCTTGAGATTCTTGACAAAATTTAAAGAACAGTCTGTTGTGTAATCGATCCTGACCAGGAATTTTGACTTCAGTCCCTTTCTGTCTTTTCTACAAATATTTTCATGGAAACTGCTCTGACGAGCGTTTTTTTTTTCTGGTGCCCCATTGGCCTGCATACGATATCTGATAAAAAGTAACGGAACTCGTGCTATAAAAAGAAAACTACAACGCATATCAATTCGACATTTAATCTCCTTCGAAGTAGTCCATCTTCTGAAGTCATACATTTATCCAGCGTTGTTTTCTTTGATTAAATCATTCTTGGAACTCCGGATAAATATCGACCATTGACTAATAGACGAGATAAGATCAAAAAGTATCGAGACTGGAGCTATGACCCCCCCCCAAAGCAAACAAACAAACAAACTACAACACATATCAGTTTGGCATTTAAACCTCTTCGAAGTAGTCCACTTCTGAAGTCACACACTTTATCCAGTGTCATTTCCATTGATGGAGCGATTTTTGGAACTCTTTTTTTAGGAGAGCGAGTAGTTGTCTCGTTGCATTCTCTTGGATTGACGTCTTAAAAACTCGTGGCTTTCAAGTGGGATTTACTTTTTGGAAAGAGAAAAAAAAGTAGCAAGGAGCGAGATCTGGAGAACATGGGGTTTGTCGAACCTGAGGAACCTTTGGTCAAAAACTGCTGCACAAGCATGGTCACTGTGGTGAGACGACCATACTCTACACACTTTCCTTCCAAGCACTGCTATAAACAACGAAAGTGGGCGAGAACGCTATAATCTAGTATGTATGCGCGACATAGCTCAAGATCTATCCGTGCCAAGCAACCACACTGTGAATACGTTAGCTTTGTTGCCATAACAACAGTTCCGATGATTTTTGATCAGACCTCGTATGTAAGAACCAATCAGGTCATCCCATAAGTAATGTCCAATATCTGATATTAATAGACCGAATTTCACGATTCTATAATAATAATAATATATGTTAGTAAGTGTTTCTATAGTTTTAAATGAATATTTAAAATTTAAAATTTAAATTTATATAATTTTGCATACGCTTGTCAATACATCTGGTTCTGCGATTACGGAGCGCCTAATAAGTAATTCAATTTGTCACTCGACTTTTCCAGAGATTTTTCTCAGTCTTCAGTAGGACACATTCAGACTACTACACATTCGAGAGTACTTGAGACTCTGTATATTAATTCCAAGTAACCCCCCCCTCTGTAAACGGAAATAATTCTTGCTGGATTTTAATATAATCTGTTTGTGATTCATGGTGATAGATCATTGGCAAGGTAGGTTGGAGGAATGATTTTATTTTATTTTTAATTTTGCTTTCATTTTCTCCATTTGTTAGCCTTTTTTTAAAATATATTATTTTAAATTTGTATTAATAATTTGGAATAGTTGTCATATATAAGTTTGTATTTTTCTTGTGCATTTGAATGTAAAAGTTTTCAATGAATTAGTTACATCGTCACAGTACGGTTCAATTAAGTTATTAACTTGATTACATCCGGTAACAAGGCCTCTGATCGGGAGATTGGACGTTTAGAGAAATGTGGAACTACCTCTGAATTGCAGTTGTTTCCAGGTCCACAATGACCAAAGAGGTAGCACCTGTTAGGGCCCCAGCAATGGGCAAATAGTGATCTCCCTCACAAAGCAAAACAAAGACAAAACATTATGAAAATATAAAAATACATTTTTATAGTAAAAATACCAGCAATACATTTTTACATAAAATATTACCAACAATACACACATACTAACAAATTGTAGCGACTTCACCAAAATCTGCTTAAAATACTACCAAACAATCAACATGGAAGAATTTTCATCATGACATTCAGCCAATATAATATCCTACAATTTCTTAAATCAAACTGTATTTCAAAATAAAACTTCAACAAAACAACACAAAAGACACACCACCACCTCTAGTAATCATCTCCACACAAACGTGTATATGCACAAAAGCTGAGTATCTACCATGTATTCAGTTGTGAAAGATTATAATATATATCCTATTTTTATTAATTCCAAACTCCCAAGAAAATTTAATTTCGGCATTAAATGACCCATAAGGAGTTGATGACAAATCAATCAATCAATCCTGATTCTAACCGGAAGTGTTCTTTCTATTGCCATTTTCTTTAAGACTTCTTTGTTGCTTATTTACTCCGTCCATGGAATTCTCAGTATCCTTCTGTATAACCAAATTTCTGCTGCTTCTAGTTTTTTCTTCATATTTGGGGAAATTGTCCAACATTCATTGCCACATAAGAGGATGTATATCACATAGCAATCAAGCGCTCTTTTCTTTGTTTCCAACGAAACTTTTCCGTTTCTCAGCACCTTGCTTAGCTTCTGGAATGCTTCTTTCGCTAGTCCAATACATACTTCGGATTTCTGTGTCGCATTTTCCATTCTCCGTTAAAATGCTTCCCAGATATTTGAACTTTTGATGTTTTGATGTTTATATCTCCAATTTCTAACTTGCATCTTGGTCTTCTCTTTTTTACTGCTATTAAATGACATAGTCTAATATTGATAACGAAACCTGCTTAGTGGCTAAGATGGTTGCATGTATATTTCAGATAAGAGCTAAAATTTCTACTTTATTTACCAGACACTTAGATATTTATCCGAACCCCAACTGGCACGGAAATATGACATAAGGCCGGTTTCAAAGTATTAAAAATACAACCAATATATATATATATATATATATATATATATATATATATATATATATATATATATATATATATATATATATATAAATTACCAACAATACGCACATATTAACAAATTGTAGCGGCTTCACCAAAATCTGCTTAAAATTCTACCAAACAATCAACATAAAAGAATTTTCATGACATTCAGCCATATAATATCCAACAATTTCTTTAATCAAACTATTCCAAAATAGAGCTTCAACAAAACAATACAAAACGCACATCACCGCCTCTAATCATGTCCACACAAACATATATATGCACAAAAGTTGAGTATCATTTACCATGTATTCAGTTATGAAAGCATAATAACATATATATATATTATTACTTCAAATCTCCCAAGAAATTTTAATTTCAGCATTAAATCACCCATAAGGTGTTTATATGCCGTTATACAGACAAATCAATCAATCTATTAACTGGATCCTCCCGAAGCTGAACGCGTTTGCAGAATCCTTACGACATGTAATGATTTTTTTTTTACATGTAATGTGTTTAGAAAAGGCAATCAGGCTGAAGAACCGATCCCCAAATCAGAGAAATTATTTAAACAAAAAATAGTGTCATAGATGGTTTTATAAATTAAAAAAAAATGGCGACTCTAAAGAGATACGTCACAAACATGTCATGCTATTTAGTTTAACTGTGATCGGCTTTTGTTTGAACTCGACAGAAACAGATAGTGTTAGAGAATAAACTCAAAAACTGACTTCAAGCCATGCAACGATTTGCTATCGGGTGCGACAACCTGGACAAGAGCGTTTTTCTTTTATGCATCGTGTTTCTTCAGCACGTGAGCAATCAACTTTTATCATTTGTAGATCTAACTAATGTTTGAGCGCTTACTATTCCTCTCCATACTTGTTCTGTTATCCATTTACACAAATTCTTTAGGTAGGTTACTCACTGTTTCCCTCTGCTCCTCTTGCCATCAATATGTCTTGTGAGTGTCAGATTCTCCAAGTCATCTTTCCTCGTTGCGTGTCCCGGAAATTTTAACTAGTTCAAGTGTCCTTTTTGTTTCCAATTTCCTCGTTGATCACATGATCTTATTTGCATTTCTCCTTTAGAGCCACATTTATGTGGCCTCAAATTTCCTCTTCGTCTTTGAGGAAATTGTTCAGCATTCAGTGCCATATAAGACAACTGATACTACATAACAGTAGAGCATTGTTTTATTTGTTTCTAACAAAATTTTTCTTGTTTCTTAATATTTTGTTTTTAGTTTAAGTCCGCCTCCGGATTTCTGTGTCAAGTGAGGCACGGGGGAGTAATAGCGGCTTGGATTGAGGAATCGGAGAGCCGAGTTCGAATTCCAGTCGAATCCATCACATTCACTTAGGTGCTAATACACTTGGGAAAGGTATGAATCCTCTCTTCACTCCTAGCTATGGGTAAATAGGAGGACAGACCGGGTTCTATAGACTTGGATGGCAACTGGTCTACTGCGGGAAAAATATCTGCTTCGTCAGTCAAAATAAGTGAAATTACCTGCGCTTATGGGGCGGCCGTCAGAAACTGAGTGGTTGAAGGTTTCTAGTTTATTAAAGCGAGGCTGCTCCAGAGAACTGATTTTGTAGTCTTTTGTTACCGGAAGGGTGGGATGTGCAGGTCTGCTCTTTGTTATTTAAGGTCTGCCTTATCTCCCTTTCAGTATCTTTATTTTTTGAGAAAGACATTACGCGAACGGAATTGTTTGCGCGTTCTTCTTTCTAATATTATTTGAACCCTGTTTAAAATTGGGACGCAAGACTAGTCATGTTTCGCAATCACTTACTGCCGGGCCGACTTTCATTAGCCTTGAGTCGAAGAAATTTTAACAAGAAAACGGTGGCCCCGAAGATATATATTCAAAATGCTGCTCATTGCAGACATTTATTTTCTCTCCCCACACCTCTTTCTCTTTCTCTCTCTCTCTCTCTCTGTCTGTGTGTGTGTGTGTGTGTGTGTGTGTGTGTTTGAGCACTTTAAACAGATCCGATCTTTTTCCGTTATGATATCATTGTCCCTCGACTGTGTTGTGCTTTCTCCTGGTTCCTAGTGGTAATGTCCTCTGTTCTTTATTTCATGTCCCTAAAATGGAAAATCTGAATGCGTGTTACGAAAGATCTTGGGCGGCATATCTATCTTTACAGCGAAGAAACTTGCAAGTTTGTCTTTTTGTTAAAGTAGTCACAGGTGTTTCTGTTGTGCTGATTCTCACACTAAACCTTTTAGAATCTGCAATCATTGCAGACATCCATTTTCTCTACAACTACCCCCCTCTCTCTCTCTGTCTGTCTCTCTCTCTAACTCTCTCTCTCTCTCTCGAAGTACGTGCGTATGTGTGCGTGCATTTCTACTGCAACGGTAATGGAAACCATATTGGAGCTGAGGCTATGGATCGAAGATCAATGCAGAAGATGAACTGAAACTCTTGCTATAAGAAATAGTGACCATCGTATTTTGAGAACAATTTCTGACCCACGCCCACAACGACACGTAGTATGTGTGGAAAAATAAGTGAAATTACCTTCGCTTATGCGGCGGCCGTCGGACGTGGAAACTGAGTTGTTGACAGATTCTGGTTTATCAAAACGAGGCTGCTCCAAGGCACTGATTTTGTAGTTTTTTGTTACTGGAAAGGGTGGGATGCGTTGTGGAGTAATGGATAGCGGCTTGGATTGAGGAATCAGAGAGCTGAGTTCGAAATCCAGTCGAATCCATCACATTCACTTACATGCTAATACCCTTGGGAAAGGTATGAATCCTCTCTTCACTCCCAACTATGGGTAAATAGCAGGACAGACCGGGTTCTATAGACTTGGATGGCAACTGGTCTACTGCGGAAAAAATATCTGCTTCGTCAGTCAAAATAAGTGAAATTACCTGTCCAGCATTCACTGTTATGGATCGAAGAAAAGGCAATCAGGCTGAAGAACCAATCCCCAAATCGGTGAAATTATTTAAACGAAAAATAGTGCCATAGATGGTTTTATAAATTTAAAAAAAATGGTGACTCTAAAGAGATACGCCACGAACATGTCATGCTATTTAGTTAAGACAACTAGTTATTTAAGATCTGCCTTCTCTTCCTTTTCTTTATTTTTTAGTTTTGAGAAGGACATTACGCAAACGGAGATGTTTTGCGCGCTCTTCTCTCTATTATTTGATCCCTGTTTAAAAATGAAACGCAAGACTAGGCGTGTTTCACAATCATTTACTACCGTACCGACTTTGATTACCCTTGATTCAAATAAATTTTCGACAAGTTCACTGGCAAGAATGTCATTTGCTGTGTGAGTTCGTGAATGTTCTGGGAAGCTGAGATTATGTTAATAGGTAACTTTTAGCTTCAGAATATGTGACGTAGTTTTTAGAAGATGATTGGTTGCTGATCACTTTCTCACTATGTTATGTTAAGTGTTTCTGTCCTTATGGTTGCGCTAAACGGGTTTGTGTCATGACGTTTCATAGTAATTTCTCCACTGAGTTTACAAATCTCCTTCTCGTGTCGATGATGAATAATGGATATTGGAATCATTGATGTTTCTTCAAAAAATAAATTTAAGTATTAAGTTTAAGTACAATTAACGATGTTTTTTATTGCCTGAACCAACCAAATGGAAATAATACAAAAGAGTAGAATGGAGGTGTGTATGTGGGGATGTCCTTTTTTGTACGTACGTGTAAGTCCATATGAAAGATTGTGATGGAATTATACTTTGAGAAGACATCTTTTAGATATATATAGTTTATTTTTCTTACCATAGCTTTTACTTATTATAACTTTTATTTTTCTACAACAAATCGCTGTTTAATATTTATTTTAACATTTTCCTATGTACAAATCTCATTGATTTGTTCACAGATATTTATTTTATCCACAAATATTTATTTTTAAGTTTTATTAACTGTTAACTTTTCGAAGCATTTTCAAATTATGCACATCGTTTCTAAGTAGCAGGATTGCCATGGTAACAATTTTTCCTTATTTTTTTTTCATTTGTTCTGAACTATAAAAAAATTATTTTACAATAACTATGTTATATAGGAATAAAGTGTCGCTACCGACACTTGAGTTTGAACATAGATCGCCAGTGAGTAAACACAGGCGATCCCATTATTGAATTAAGTTTATTTCTACTCTATCCTCTATTACTATACGGACCGCTATTCCCTATACTATTTCTCTATTCGGATCACTATATGGATTACTTGTCGAGCGACTGTTATCGAGCAGGTACTATTAGTGCGAGATTAGTTGAAGGCGTCTGACACCAGTATTGTTCAATGGCGTTACTATAGTTGTATATGCGATTACAAAGTCTCTATTACAAGGAGCATTACAAAAATGACAACGGGTATTTGTTGATACCACAAAAGTGACAACGGTGTTCGTAGAGTTGCAAAAAACTATTTTTTTATTTTTTTGCTAAAGAAAATAATTTTTTCCTGGTAGGGAATGAGAGAACGTCACCTCTCTTATCCCAAATATTTAAAAAAAAAATGGCGCGTACGATAACAGACAAGACTTGAAATTACCTCGTGTAATTGGAAAGGTACAGATATTTATTAAAGACATATAAAACAATATAATAAAGTACAAATTTTACAAAAAAAGCTATCACAAAAAAAAAAAAAAAATAGAGAAAAAAATGAAGCCTTTATGCTTATTAAGGTCAAGACAAGATAATGTAACAAAATTATAGAAATAATTTGCTCTAAAAAGATAACGTTGAGAAGGTGATACGAACACCGTTGGAAAAAAATACTTATCGATAAAAAAGAAGTACAGCCAGGTAATAGATAAACGAAAAAAAAAAAAACCCTACTTGTATTTCCCACGAGATTCTTAGCAAGATTTTAACGATATTTTTCAATGTCGTTCGTTTTTTTTTCTGTTTTACTTTCACATGGTTCACTGGGTATTGCGTCTTTCTTTTCTTTTCCCGCTGGAGTCTTGGAATCACTTCTTAATTGCTGATGTTCCCAGGTCCACCCTGACCCGGGGTGGTAGCATCTGTTAGGGTCCCAGCTATGGGCAAATAGTTGACACTTAAACTGGTGTCAAAACACTATGAAAGTGTAAAAATAGGTTTTAATACATACCAGAAATACTTTGTAAAAAAATAAAAAATTATTACCAACAATACATTTTTAGAAAAAAAAATATTACCAACTATAGTTTATTTTGAAAGAAAATATTACCAGCAATATAAAATTTGTCGGCATTAAATAACCCATTGAGATTTATATGCCGTAAAAAAAATCAAACCAACCAAACTCGCGAGAGTCTCCGGAAAGTTTTACGTTATTGCGAAATGTTTTACGTCGGCGTAGTTTTTAAGAATGCCGAAACCCTTCTGCCCTTTGCTCTGCAGGTGACTTTCTCGTGAGAAAGGTTAGAAAACTTCCCGCGGTCAGCCGGCTTTGTGGCTGTGTGACGTCACTTTTTTTCTTCTTCCATTCTGCCGTCTAACTACCTTCTGCCGCCGTTACCATCTGCCAGTTCATCCACTGACCCGTCTTAAATATCCTCGGTGTGGATCAAACGAGCAACTTTAAATTTTACCCTTTCCTCTGGACAAAAATATGAGGGTAATATATTTTTTTCTGAATTTGAAAAATGAATCCCCAACAGTCCACCATGACACTTATTTTTGGCATCCTTTTTAGAGCCAATTCTAAAAATAAATTACACACAAAATATTTTTTTAGTAAACTGCCTAGCTATCTTTTAATGCACTTCCATCAAAAGTAAGTGTATAAGATAACGCAAGACTATTTGGCATTTATTTACTTAGAGTTTTTAATTAATTATTATTTTAAATTATTTTATTCTACTAATAAATGACTTGCATTATTTGTTTAAACATTATTTTTAAATGGATACTGATATTTGGGTAGATGTTCTGTTTTTATTTTTATGTATTTACTAGCAGTAGAGCCCGGCGTTGCCCGGGGATGTAACAGTAAGAAATAGATCAAGTATCGACCATCATAAAGACTGAAAAATAAAATTGACAAAAATTATTGTTTAAGGTTGACGGACATGCATGTCTAAATTAGATTTTTTTTTTTTTTACGAATTGGTCAAACTCAAACAAAAACATTGTTTTCAATCGTTATGAGTCTATCGATTGAATAGAATTTTATTATAAACAATTGTCTTGTAAATGGAATTTTTAAAGCATTATAAATGTAAAAATAAAGAAAAAAGTGTGCAAGACAATAAGAAACACTACCTGCCAAAAAAGTGAAGTTTTGTTGAAATCGGTTGAAAAATGTAGGAAATCCGATCCCATATATAAACGAACACACACACACACACACACACACACACACACACACACACACACACACACACACACACACACACACACACACAAACAACCTGGGTTTTATAATAAGTATAACTCGATATTAGTTGCCCCTCTTTCATTCCGCGAAAGCGATGCCTCTTAATCGTGTTTTCAAATTGATTTCGTGCAAAAACAATTGTGTTTTTCCAATTTTTGGCGTTTTCAGAACCACCGCAAGGTAATTTTACGTAGTCCTGTGAAGTTTTGTTGAAATCGGTTGAAAAATGTAGGAAATCCGATATATAAACGTACAGACACACACACACACAAACCTGGGTTTTATAATAAATATGAGATTAAAGAGCATATATATTTATTTATATCTACCGGCCATTAATACATTTCCTAATCTCTCTGTGTCTCACTCTCTTTCTCTCTCTCTCTCTCATATATATATATATATATATATATATATATATATATATATATATATATATAATTTATTTGCTGATGTTCCCAGGTCCACCCTGACCTGGGGTGGTAGCACCTGTTAGGGTCCCAGCTATGGGCAACTAGTATTTTATTTGTTTAAACATTATGTTTAAATGGATACTCATATTTGAGTAGATGGTCTGTTTATATGTATTTTTTTAAAGAGCATATATATTTATTTACATCTACCTGCCTTTAATACATTTCCTAATATCTATCTATCTATCTATCTATCTATCTATCTATCTATCTATCTATATGCATGCATGTATGTTTATATGGTTGTGTGTGTGTGTTTATTTTAGTAAGATGTAGAATATTATCCGAACAAAAGTGGAGATAATAAGACAAAGTGGAAAAGTCTTTTACAAACACAGTGTTACAACTAATTCTGTTAGGTAGGAAACTTCAGAGCAGAATGAAAAACAAAACTGATGTTATATTCAGCACCTCGATTCATTATAGACGATGCTCTTATTGAACGAAATGTTGACAACAGAATAAAAAAAATAAGCATCCAGTTACAAACATTGTTCGGATAATTCATAGACATTTTAACATGGCTATGTGTAAACAGGGCATTTGCATTTGCATGCTGTGTTGTCTTCAGTGCAACTTGTTGTTTTCAAGGGACAGAAAGGCTCGACAGAAGGGAAAATAGACCTGCCCTATCTCTAAAGTATCCTAAGTTTGAAGGGGGCGGGGAGAAAGCGAGAGAAGACTGCTGTGCCCTTTTCTTATATACCGTTTTACTTAACACCATCTAGCGATTGTTAGCAGGAGTTATTTGGCAGATAAACTTGAAACGTTCCGCATCCTCCTTATTCTCCTGTTCTTGCTCCATCTGATTATCATCTGTTTTGGAGATTATATAACCATCTTGTATTATTTCTTAAAACATATGAAGAGATAGATACTACATTCTCTACGTTATTGAAGTGGGGGGGGAGAAAGAGAGAGAGAGGACTGCTGTGCCCTTTTCTTATATACTGTTTTACTTAACATCATCTAGCGATTGTTAGCAGGAGTTATTTGGCAGATAAACTTGAAACGTTCCGCATCCCCTTATTCCCTGTTCTTGCTCCATCTGATTATCATCTGTTTTGGAGATTATATAACCATCTTGTATTATTTCTTAAAACATATGAAGAGATAGATACTACATTCTATACGTTATTGAAGGGGTGGGGGGAGAAAGAGAGAGAGAGGACTGCTGTGCCCTTTTCTTATATACTGTTTTACTTAACATCATCTAGCGATTGTTAGCAGGAGTTATTTGGCAGATAAACTTGAAACGTTCCGCATCCCCCTTATTCCCCTGTTCTTGCTCCATCTGATTATCATCTGTTTTGGAGATTATATAACCATCTTGTATTATTTCTTAAAACATATGAAGAGATAGATACTACATTCTATACGTTATTGAAGTGGGGGGGGGAGAAAGAGAGAGAGAGGACTGCTGTGCCCTTTTCTTATATACTGTTTTACTTAACACCATCTAGCGATTGTTAGCAGGAGTTATTTGGCAGATAAACTGGAAACGCTCCGCATCCTCCTTATTCTCCTGTTCTTGCTCCATCTGATTATCATCTGTTTTGGAGATTATATAACCATCTTGTATTATTTCTTAAAACATATGAAGAGATAGATACTACATTCTCTACGTTATTGAAGGGTGGGGAGAAAGAGAGAGGACTGCTGTGCCCTTTTTCTTATATACTGTTTTACTTAACACCATCTAGCGATTGTTAGCAGGAGTTATTTGGCAGATAAACTGAAACGCTCCATCCTCCTTATTCTCCTGTTCTTGCTCCATCTGATTATCATCTGTTTTGGAGATTATATAACCATCTTGTATTATTTCTTAAAACATATGAAGAGATAGATACTACATTCTCTACGTTATTGAAGGGTGGGGGAGAAAGAGAGAGGACTGCTGTGCCCTTTTCTTATATACTGTTTTTACTTAACATCATCTAGCGATTGTTAGCAGGAGTTATTTGGCAGATAAACTGAAACGCTCCGCATCCTCCTTATTCTCCTGTTCTTGCTCCATCTGATTATCATCTGTTTTGGAGATTATATAACCATCTTGTATTATTTCTTAAAACATATGAAGAGATAGATACTACATTCTCTACGTTATTGAAGGGGTGGGGGAGAAAGAGAGAGAGGACTGCTGTGCCCTTTTCTTATATACTGTTTTACTTAACACCATCTAGCGATTGTTAGCAGGAGTTATTTGGCAGATAAACTGGAAACGCTCCGCATCCTCCTTATTCTCCTGTTCTTGCTTCATCTGATTATCATCTGTTTTGGAGATTATATAACCATCTTGTATTATTTCTTAAAACATATGAAGAGATAGATAGTGCATTCTCTACGTTATTGAAGGGGTGGGGGAGAAAGAGAGAGAGGACTGCTGTGCCCTTTTCTTATATACTGTTTTACTTAACACCATCTAGCGATTGTTAGCAGGAGTTATTTGGCAGATAAACTGGAAACGCTCCGCATCCTCCTTATTCTCCTGTTCTTGCTCCATCTGATTATCATCTGTTTTGGAGATTATATAACCATCTTGTACTATTTCTAAAAACATATGAAGAGATATATACTACATTCTCTACGTTATTGAAGTAGGGTAGGGGGAGAAAGAGGGAGAGGACTGCTGTGCCCTTTTCTTATATACCGTTTTACTTAACACCATCTAGCGATTGTTATCAGGAGTTATTTGGCAGATAAACTGGAAACGTTCCGCATCCTCCTTATTCTCCTGTTCTTGCTCCATCTGATTATCATCTGTTTTGGAGATTATATAACCATCTTGTACTATTTCTTAAAACATATGAAGAGATAGATACTACATTCTCTACGTTATTGAAGTAGGGGGGGGCGGAGAAAAAGGGAGAGGACTGCTGTGCCCTTTTCTTATATACCGTTTTACATAACACCATCTAGCAATTGTTATCAGGAGTTATTTGGCAGATTTCCTGGAAACGTTCCGCATCCTCCTTATTCTCCTGTTCTTGCACCACCTGATTATCATCTGTTTTGGAGATTATATAACCATCTTGTACTATTTCGTAAAACATATGAAGAGATAGATACTACATTCTCTACGTTATTGAAGTAGGGAGGGGGAGAAAGAGGGAGAGGACTGCTGTGCCCTTTTCTTATATACCGTTTTACTTAACACCATCTAGCGATTGTTATCAGGAGTTATTTGGCAGATAAACTGGAAACGTTCCGCATCCTCCTTATTCTCCTGTTCTTGCTCCATCTGATTATCATCTGTTTTGGAGATTATATAACCATCTTGTACTATTTCTTAAAACATATGAAGAGATAGATACGACATTCTCTACGTTATTGAAGTAGTGGGGGAAAAGGGAGAGGACTGCTGTGCCCTTTTCTTATATATACCGTTTTACTTAACACCATCTAGCGATTGTTAGCAGGAGTTATTTGGCAGATAAACTGGAAACGTTCCGCATCCTCCTTATTCTCCTGTTCTTGCACCACCTGATTATCATCTGTTTTGGAGATTATATAACCATCTTGTATTATTTGTTAAAACATATGAAGAGATAGATACTACATTCTCTACATTATTGAAGTAGGGGGGAAAGAGGGAGAGGACTGCTGTGTCCTTTTCTTATATACCGTTTTACTTAACACCATCTAGCGATTGTTATCAGGGAGTTATTTGGCAGATAAACTGAAGGCTGGAAACGTTCCGCATCCTCCTTATTCTCCTGTTCTTGCTCCATCTGATTATCATCTGTTTTTTTAAAAATATGGAGATTATATAACCATCTTGTATTATTTGTTAAAACATATGAAGAGATAGATACTACATTCTCTACATTATTGAAGTAGGGGGGGGGAGAAAGAGGGAGAGGACTGCTGTGTCCTTTTCTTATATACCGTTTTACTTAACACCATCTAGCGATTGTTATCAGGAGTTATTTGGCAGATAAACTGGAAACGTTCCGCATCCTCCTTATTCTCCTGTTCTTGCACCACCTGATTATCATCTGTTTTGGAGATTATATAACCATCTTGTATTATTTGTTAAAACATATGAAGAGATAGATACTACATTCTCTACGTTATTGAAGTAGGGGGTGAAAGAGGGAGAGGACTGCTGTGTCCTTTTCTTATATACCGTTTTTACTTAACACCATCTAGCGATTGTTATCAGGAGTTATTTGGCAGATAAACTGGAAACGTTCCGCATCCTCCTTATTCTCCTGTTCTTGCACCACCTGATTATCATCTGTTTTGGAGATTATATAACCATCTTGTATTATTTGTTAAAACATATGAAGAGATAGATACTACATTCTCTACGTTATTGAAGTAGGGGGGGGGAGAAAGAGGGAGAGGACTGCTGTGTCCTTTTCTTATATACCGTTTTACTTAACACCATCTAGCGATTGTTATCAGGAGTTATTTGGCAGATAAACTGGAAACGTTCCGCATCCTCCTTATTCTCCTGTTCTTGCACCACCTGATTATCATCTGTTTTGGAGATTATATAACCATCTTGTATTATTTGTTAAAACATATGAAGAGATAGATACTACATTCTCTACGTTATTGAAGTAGGGGGGAGAAAGAGGGAGGGACTGCTGTGTCCTTTTCTTATATACCGTTTTACTTAACACCATCTAGCGATTGTTATCAGGAGTTATTTGGCAGATAAACTGGAAACGTTCCGCATCCTCCTTATTCTCCTGTTCTTGCACCACCTGATTATCATCTGTTTGGAGATTATATAACCATCTTGTATTATTTGTTAAAACATATGAAGAGATAGATACTACATTCTCTACATTATTATACCGTTTTAAACACCATCTAGTTGTTACTAGAGTTATTTGGCAGATAAACTGGAAAATTACTATCTGTTTTGGAGATTATATAACCATCTTTGTATTATTTGTTAAAACATATGAAGAGGAAGTAGGGGAGAGGACTGCTGTGTCCTTTTCTTATATACCGTTTTACTTAACACCATCTAGCGATTGTTATCAGGAGTTATTTGGCAGATAAACTGGAAACGTTCCGCATCCTCCTTATTCTCCTGTTCTTGCTCCATCCTGATTATCATCTGTTTTGGAGATTATATAACCATCTTGTATTATTTGTTAAAACATATGAAGAGATAGATACTACATTCTCTACATTATTGAAGTAGGGGGGAGAAAGAGGGAGAGACTGCTGTGTCCTTTTCTTATATACCGTTTTACTTAACACCATCTA